TTTATTTCTCGATAATCTTAATGACCAAATTGGTAACCATAAATTAGCAGAAATATTTGATAATTATTGTAAGGTATTTCTCGAAGGCGCATGGAAATTAAGATCTGAAATATATAAATCCATGGCCACATTACCACCCGTTACACTTTAATTAGTTTTTGTATTTCCCTTTATTCTGTTAATATGAACCTTTATGATCAGTTAGTTCTAAGCTCTATATTTTGTTATAAATATCTTGTAATGTTAGTTAGTTGTCTGTTAGTTCTAGCTCCATATTAACTTGTAATTCATACAGAAACTCTGTAAATAATACGGTCCTGTAAAGACTACCGGTACCATACCACATAGACCTACATGCCATGTTGATAAATTTTACTTTGTATATACATTTTAGCTTAATTTACTCCTAGTTTAAGTTTATTATTTTTCTCTTATATTTGGATGCACCGTTGGGTATTGTCCAACGTGTGCCACTGTTACGAAAGTGATATCCATTAAATTGATTGATTGAGGGCGTCCTATCTGTTGCCATGGATCTGAGATGGTTCCTGTTCTGCTGTTCACAGGCGGTGTACTGTATGGTCAGATCAGAGCGGTCAAGGGTCAAAAGTTTCCAATTTAGCAAGAGGGCGCCATTCATGCCTTATTACAGAATTTGCACGCGTAAATCGCGGAGAACGCTATCTTGTGTTTATAAGATCTTTGGTGCCTATCCCCGGTGCCTTGCTGTCATTTGGGTTTTTCGATCGCAGTGGTATGGAACGCTGAGACGAAGTGTTTCGATGTTATTGTTGAATTCATTCATATCCGTAGATAGAGTTTGGCCAACTTGGCGCATGGGCGCCATGTCGTTACCAAACTGCGTGCGCGCGTCTATAGCTTTATAACACTTTATAACAATGATGCTGCATAAACTTTCTTTCATTATTCTGTTCATGAGGACAATTCATTTATGGGATTTTAATACATCATTGTAAATATCATATATTATTACCATAACTTTGAAGTTAATTAATCAACGCGCTGTATTATTTTGAGAAGATAAAGTGAGGACGATTCTTTATTTTTCGTTACCATTATCTTTTTGTTTTGAAAGTCTATCATCTAGGCCTATGCTAGTCGCTAGCAGGCCTCTCTATCTAGCCTAGAGAGGACTAGTAGCCTCTAGTGAGAGAAACTTTTGTACAATATGCCTAGGGCCTAAACATAATCAAGAAGCTAGGCCCTATGTAAGTAAAATAAAAACTTCTGTGTATTATTAGTAAGTTATTATTATCATTATTATTATATTATTAATTATTATTCATTGAATTTTTGATTTGTAATTGTAAAACATTTAAACATTTTGGTTTACTTTAGTGTATGTATATTAAAACAATCAATATACAATTATATTTAATTTTTTATCTTTAAAATCTTCTTAGTTGCACAATTGATTTGTAAAGCATAATTGGGCAGGTTTGCATAGCACAGGACTCCTTGGACAAGTTTTCGCTTTTATTGGAGGATTCAATTGTTATTGTTAATTATAACTCAGGGCCGGCGGAACGTTTTTCAAAGTAGGGGGGCCCCACTTATAAGCAGGCGCGTAACAGGGGTCTTGGGTCGGGGTGGGGGGCAAAGGTAATAATTTTCCCGGTTAGTAATTTATGACTTGGTGTGATACCCCCCACCCCACCATATAGAAAACAATACGACATGGCTTATTTTATTACTAATATAGGGCACACACGTGTGTTTGAAACTAAATATAAGCATTTTCATCGTGGTTTTATTTATTACAATTCATAGGCCTATTCTTTCACCATCATTACACATTGAGGCCCTTCTTTCTTCCCCCGGAAAAATTTCGATTTCTAGATGGAGGGAGATGAGCTTACCTGACTTCTGAAATGTCTTTTAATGACTTTTAAAGTTCTTCAAAATTCAAGGTTTTTCTTCTCTTGAAAAATTTTTCTCATTTATTATTTTATGCGTACATACATAAACAAATGAGTAGTTGCATGCGTATTCTTTTTTCCATGAATTGATAAATCCCAAAAAGAAAGGGTGGTCCGGGAAAATTTTGATTCCTAGATGGCGGGAATTGAGTTTTCCCGACATTTGAAATGTGTTTTAATGAATTTTATGTTCTTCAAAATTCTAATTCTAAAAAAAAAAAAAAAAATCAGCTCACGGGTCCTGAAAAGATAGGTCTAGAATTCTTTTCTTTTCCCCCTTGTTTTGTTGCCCAAGGGAGGGGTCAGGACCCATGACCCCCTCCCCCAGATCCGCAAATGTGAATTGCGAGAAAATGTAACTCGGTCGGGTACTGGATAAACATTCTCTTTCCCATCCTTTTCCTCCTTCTTCCCTCCTTTTTTTGCATTTCCGATCATACAAAAATCTCCAGACATATATTTTTCGCCTGCCATGTAACTTAAGCTAGGTAGGCTAGGCTTTTGACTGATACTTCATGTAGCTTTCTGGAAATATAGATAATTTAACAGCAAAGTGCAACATTGCATCTTTTAGAAATATCATTGCTGCTTTGAAAATCCTTCCTTTTTTCTTGTCATTGTAATTCTATTTATAGTGTTAGGCCTATAAGCCGATTTATGTACTACCTTATGGTGTTAGACCGAAGTACTGAAATCTAGGCCTAGTGGTAGTAGGTGGATTACGGCGAAGTGGGGCGGGCGGCAAATGCCTCGATTTATACTACATGGACAGCGAGATTTTTCGAACGCCATTCAAATTTTAAATAAAATCCCAAATCCTCCTCCTTTTTGAAATTTAAGGAAATTAATACATTTTTGTTCCTTTGTTGGATCGATTGCAGCAACCCCAAACCGAACATAACGGTATTTCACATTATATAGCATTAATCGTCTATCATAACTGCTAACTTCCTATCTATTCGCGTTAGTTTGCAATTGCATCCTGCTGCAGACCGGCAGCGAGGCGAGGTCAGCCACGCTTTGCAAAAAGCAGCCAGACATTGCAAAATCGTTAATGCAAAAGAATAGCCTGGGCGATGCCATTTTCGCGAAGGTAAATTGACTTTCGACATAAACCTTGTACAAAAAAAAATATGATCGACCACTTTTATGGTTGCTGCCCTCTACAGTATTTCAACGTCAGTTATTACAGAATTTGCACGCGTAAATCGCGGAGAACGCTATCTTGTGTTTATAAGATCTTTGACGTCAGGTTAAGTTATTGTAGGTGGTGGACAACCCTGGGTAAACTAACCCAGTAGTCATGGTTGGGGCGAGTGGATACAGAAAGGTTCTGTATTCGGGGGTGCAGGGCGAAGGCCTTGATAAAGCAGACTAAATGTTGTGGCAGATAATGTCCTGGTTTATTTGTCTCCTGTCTCTTTTTTGTGGACTGATTATTTTATTTGTTTTTCTAGATGCTCAGATGTGCTTTCCAGCACTGGTCTGTTAATCAGTGGCGGATCTGGAGGGTGGTGGTGAGGGGGGAGGGGATTAATAGGGTGGCTACCCACCCCCTTCGTTTACTGTGGGAAAAAAATTATGGTCACTCGTTTTGCGTGTGTGCTCTTCGTGTACTCTTTCTATTTGATGCCTAATTTTTTTTCAGGGCGGCCACCTAAGATCGTCCAGCAGTCTACTAATTCCAAAAAAAAAAAAAAAATTCGAATGTGAGTGGATGTGGGTCCCCTGCTGGGATACAGTACGGTATTAAGAATGATGTTCATGACCGTTGAGAATGATTTTATTAATTATTTTACTGTGATAGGGCTATATTAAATTCATTTACA